TTTTTTTTTCCTGGGTGCTGCTGGAGGAGCGAGGGGGCGAAGACCCGAGGCACATGTTGAGCGGCCGCTGGCGGTGCGGGGGGAGGAGGTAGTGTTTTTTGGAGGCGAAGGAAAAAGGGCTTTTTCGAAGGTGGCGGAGGGGCTGTTTAGCGGGGCCTCTGCAGCGAGCCAGGCAGGCCCTTAGGCCGCGCATTGCCGCCGGAGCCGGTGCTCCCTGCTGCCGTTCGGGGCCCAGCTCCGGGGTAGGGATATGCCTCTGCCCGAGGTCGTCCCCGTGGGAGCCGCTGCCTCGGCCCTCCCGGCCCTGTTTTGCCGCCCCTTCTACGTCTTTACATTGCCCAGGTGCCCTCAGGCACCCCTTTATTTATCACCGTTACTTTTTGGCTTTTATTGGCGTATTTTTTAAAGAAACGGAGGACGTGCAGATGGGGTTCCCCCATGACACCTCCAGCCGCAGGCAGGGATCGGCGGGCGCGGCGCGGGGCCGGGGTGCGCTCCCCGTGCGTGCCCGGGGCCGCTGCAGTGCGCGGGGAGGGCGGCGCTGCCCGGCCCCGGCCCCGCGCCGCACTGCCCGGCCTGGTGCTCCGAGCCGGCCGTCAGTGCGGCCGAGCCGTCTCCATCCCCCGTTATTGACACGTCCAGCGACTTCAAACTCAGAAAAGCCTCTTTGATTGACTGGGCTGATTGATGGGGTGATAGAGCTGTCAGACGGCACGGCCTCGCTCCCGGCCGGCCCGGCCGCGGGTGTTGTGTTGCCGATTCCCATGGCCACCGAGCGCCCGGCGTTCTGCACTTGCGCCTTCATTTCCTTTCCTCCCCTTTCTTCGGGCAAAGGATAATTTCTGCATGTCCTCCTCTCCGGCACTCCCTGCTCGCTGCAGCGCGGAGGGGAGAAGGGCGAGGGGAGGCTGGCTGGGCTCGGCCGCTCTTTGTTGTGCTCGTAGCTGCCCGCCGGCCCCGACCGCTTCTCTCGGCTCCGGGGACGAGCGGGCTGCGGCGGTCGGAGGCGCCGGCACCCCGCCGCAAGGTGCCGGGACTCAGTAATTCACTCCCCGCGCCCTCCACCCCCCGCCGGTCCAGCCCGGGAATATCCCGCTGGGCCCCGTCCCTCTCCCCACCGGGCCTCGTCTCTCTCCCCGCCGACAGCCGCTGCCGAGCCGGGGGAATCCCCCCGTTCTGGGGCAAAGCTGCGCCGGGAGAGGAGCTTTCGGCCTGCTCGGCGGCAGGGAGGCCTCGCCGGCTCCGGCTCCGGCTGCTGCTGGCGGGGGGCTGCGGGCCTGGGACCGCCCGCCGAGCCCGGCAGCTGTCGGGGAATTTTCGTAGATCCCATTCTTCACGGTTCCCTCCCCGCTCCTCTTCCCCGTGGCCCGGCCAGGCTGGCGGGCAGAGGACCGGGGGTACCCCTCCTCGGCTAGGCGCTGCCCTCAGGATGCGCCCCGGGACCCGCTGGCTTCCCCGGCGAGCTGTGTTGCACTTCAGCTCTGACCCCTTTGCGGCCCGGGTGCGGACAGCGGGGCTCTGCTTGTGGCTGGGCTCTGCTTGTGGCTGGGCTTCGCGGAGGGAGCTGCGAGCGGGCCCGTACGTCCCCGGCCGGGATCGGCCGCCGGAGAGCCCAGGCGACCCGCCCGGCGGTGGCGGGGCTCCGGGGTGGCGGCGGAGATGGGCCCCCCAGGACTGGGCTGGCTTTGCGGAGAGGGTCGTTGTCCCCCGAAAGGAGACCAGGGCAGCCTTCTGCCAGTGTGCTGCTGGCGGCGGCTCCCCGGTGCCTGGCAGCGGGGCCCTTTGGTCCTCGTGCTGCCCGGCGGAGTCGCTGCCCGCCCGGGAGGCCCCGGTCCCGGGCCGTGCAGGAGAGCGGCTCGGCCCTGCAGGACGGGCGGACCGGCGCCCCGACGTGTGCCGGGGCGGGGGGCAAGGGGGCTCCGCTGCCCTCGCCCGCGGGGCCGGCTCGGCGGGGCCGGGGCGGCGGGTGATGCGCGGGCGCGCTCGGCCCCGGCCTCCCCGTGCCTTCCCCATCCTTCCCTCCGCCGTGCCGGGGCGGCGGTGCCGGGGTTGGGGGCTGGGGGGGGGACACACGGAACCAGCACAAATTCACCCGTCGGCCATTTTTCCTCGGCCGGCGGGGCGGGGGTGGCGGTCGGTCTGTCGGTCTGTCGGGCGGGCGGTCGGTCGGTCGGTCGGCGGCGCGGCCCTGCCCAGCGGCGTGTGTGTGCCCTGCCCGCAGGCCCCCGCACCAGGAAGCTGAAGAAGAAGAAGACGGAGAAGGAGGACAAGCGGCCGCGGACGGCGTTCACGGCCGAGCAGCTGCAGCGGCTGAAGGCGGAGTTCCAGGCGAACCGGTACATCACGGAGCAGCGGCGGCAGAGCCTGGCCCAGGAGCTCAGCCTCAACGAGTCCCAGATCAAGATCTGGTTCCAGAACAAACGGGCCAAAATCAAGAAGGCGACGGGCATTAAGAACGGGCTGGCGCTGCACCTCATGGCCCAGGGACTCTACAACCACTCCACCACCACGGTGCAGGACAAAGAGGAGAGCGAGTGAGGCGGGCGGCCCCAGCCCAGCCCTGCGCCGCGGCGCCGGCCCGCCGGCCGGGAGGCGGACAGGTGCGATTTAAAAGCAGATCTATTGTCTATCCATAGTATAAGGACTCCGATTAAGAAAAAAAAAATAAATATGAACACTTAAGAAAAATTATCTCTATATAGCCAAACAGCATATGACCTTGTATATATTTAATTTCAGGTAAGAAATATGTGTAGCGATCTCTATTTGCTGGACAGTTTCTCTCTTCCCTTCTCTCTGTTTCTCCTTTCTTTTGTTCGTTTGTTTGTTTTGTTTGCTTTCCTTTTTTTTCTTCCCCCCCCATGTCCGTTGCTCCTGTTTTATAGTAAATGTCGGACTTTTCTCATCTGTCGTTTAATCTTATTTTATTTTTTTTGTGTGTGTGTGAATTTCTGTCTCTCTCTCTTTTTTTTTCCCGAGGAAAAAAAAATTCTGATCCACAGACTGCGAGACTGAACCCGCCGCTACAAGCCAAAGATTTTATTATGTTCAGAAATCTGTAGTCTGAAATAAAGTGTAGACTGTGTTCAGGATCCAGGCTGGCTGTAATTCTTTATTTTAGTGTGTGGATGTTTGCATATATATATACACATAAAAATATAATAAATAAATGTATATATGCATACACCATACGCTGAGTACATAGTGCCATTTTGATGGCATATTTAGGTTTTTCTTTCGATAGATGCAGCAATTTTTAAACTACTCATCCCTTGTTCAAAACCCTTAGACCTTCGATTTTAAAAAAACTTATTTTTAATTTTTCTACCCTTTAAAAATAATTAATTCTCTTTGGCAATCGCGGTCGTGCTTCACCTCCCGCATCTCCCTTTTTAAACAGAAATTAAAACCACCTCGTAATAATGGTGATACAAGTTCCCGCTGAAAAATTGCCTGATATTGTCTGGATACTTAGGACTCCGGGATGTGTTGGAAGGATATTTGTCTGACAGCTCCCTGCCTCTCTCCGAGAGGATCTGCTCGCACGCTGGTTCCAGCGGGGACCTCTCCCGAGGATCGGACCGGAGCGATCGGCGCCCGGCGCTGCGCCGCCGCTCCCGGGAGCGCTCCCGGCGCCGGTGCCTGCCCGGCGCTCCCTCCTGCGGGGCCCGGGCTCACATTTGCCGGTGCGTGGGATGCGCGGGGCGGAGGAGCGGCTGCGGCCCCGCTCCGCTTTTCCGCCCGCCCCGGTTAAAAGCCCGTGCCCAGTCCCGGGTCGGCTCCCTTCGCTGCCGGCCGGGGGACACGGACGGGCCGGACCGGGCTGTGCCCACGGCCTTGGCCTCGAGCCGTCGAGGGCCGCCGGGCCTGAGCCCACGCGTGGGGCCGAGCCGAGGGCAGGCGACGGGATTCCCCTCCTCACTGACCCTGATGGAACCGGGCACCGAGGCGGGTGGAGAGCCGCCCGTCCCCCTCGGCGAGGCTGTCTGTCGGCTTTCCTTCTCCTCTTTCTGCTCCTCTCTATCCCTGCCCTAGGCCCGCGGCCGGCAGGGCGAAGAGGACAAGCGAGCAGAGCTGGACCCGGGGGACCCTTTCTCCTGCATCTCCCCGGAGGATGGGGCGATGCCGAGGCCATGCCCAGGTCAGTGGGACCGGGGGGCGGAAGAGGGAAGCAGCAGCACTCTCGGTCGGCGTAGCCTGCAGCTCCCCCCTCCTCGTCCCACCAGAGGCATTAGGGGTTTTCCGTCCATTTGAGACTGGGAGCACTGGGGATGATGGCTTCTGCCATTTTCGTGCTTTTTAACTTTTCCTGCTTAGAGCTGCGGTTTGCTATCACCGTCCGGGGATGGAGGTGCAGGCTGGGGAGAGAGCCCCCTGCCCTCCGTGCCCGTTGCTGATGGGGCAGGACCCCTCCTACACCTTATCCCACTCCAACCTACCCCAGCGTATCCCACCCCATCCCCGCCCAGCCCAGCCCGCCTCTGCCCGCCGAGGGCTCTACTCTTTGCAGGCCGAGGAGCCGGGAATACTCAGAGGGCTTAAATAAACGTTGTACAGCGCCATCTAAAGTTGTGCATTTCTTTCTCTCTCTCTCTCTCTCTCTCTCTCTCTCTCTCTCTCTCTCTCTCTTTTTTTTTTTTTTTTTTTTTTTCCTCCGATGGGATTGGAACGGGAACTCAAATCTTCCGCACTGAGGAAAATAAAGCCGTCCTTCAAAGTGCGAGCTCCACCGCTCGCGGGGAAAGCGGTTGGCGAGAGCCCGGACCGGCGGGGCAGCTGCAGATTTCGGGGGCCGCATTCAGATTCCCCCCGAGGTTCCCCTTCACTTGCCGCTGTCGGGGGCACACAGAGAGATTGCTCCCCTACTCCCGCCCGCTTCAGTCTCATTCAATCCTCTGCCTTTGCCATGCACGCCGTCTCTCACTCCCCTGGAGCTGTACGGGCTAAAAATGGCATTTCTCCTTAAAAATCGAGTAACGATCCTCCACAAGAGCATTCCCGGGTGGGATCTGGCCCGGACCTGCCGAGGGTAGAGGGCACCGACCTGCTTAGCTTCCCCTGTCCACGGGACGCGGGTGATGCTCAGACTGGCTCTCACATGGGTCGAGCAAGGCTGTCGGCCCCTCCCGCTGTCCCCCCTGCCTCCAGACCCCGGGACCTGCTGCCTACCTGCAGCTGGGAGCCGGCTCCGGGGTGCTGGGGTTGCCCGAAGGTTTGGGTGCTCCAGAGGAGGGGGAAGATGAAGAAGAGTTTCCTCAGCCGCGGGTTGTGCAAACTCAGTTGAGCTGGACAAGTCAGGAATAAAGCCGACGAGGGAAATATAGGGCAGATTAAAGGAAGCCTAAAGAGGATTATTTAAACAAATCAGACTTTTTAATGTAATTACGCTTTTAGGATTTCTCATGGAGAGCAGCTGAGCGGGGCATATTGGTGAATCGGTGCAGGCCAAGGCCAGCGAGGTCCAGGTCTGTCCTCGCTGGCTCCCCGAGTGACCTTGGTCCCCTGTGGGTGCCGAGGACAAATAGGCCCGCGGGGAATGGAGGGGGAGACCTTCACCGGGGCTCAGCACCAGCCCGAGCTGAGAAATAAGAGCAGAAGGCGCAACATCCTCCCCGTAGCGAAGGGACCAGGTGTGCACGGAGCGCCGGGGGGAGGCGAGGGACACGCACCGGGCCCCCCGCCGGGGAGGAATGCTGAGGGCTGGACGGAACGGCGGGACCGGGGAGCCCAAGTCCCAGGATGAGCACCCGCTAGCCCGGGCGGAAAAGCCCTGGAGGCAAAGTGCTACCCTCCCCCTCCTTCCTGCGTGCCTCGGGGGTCTGTTCCCCCACACCCCGGCTCTCCCGGGGCAGCCGCGCCTCTGTGGGATGTCAATAGCAGTCAACACCCAGCAGACAACCCCCAGCACCCCCGTCCTCCCTCCGCGGGCGGATTCTCCGTCCAAGGCACCCCTTGAATCGGGCACAATCGTTCCAAGCCCCCGGCCCTGGCCTGACGACCACCCCCCGGGAGGGCGCGGCCCGGCGGCCTGCTGATTTGCATATGCAAATGAGGCACGGGGGAGGAGGGGAAGGCCACGCGTGGTCCCCCCCGTCGGTCCCCTCCGGCCGGGGCGCAGATCCCGCTGCCTCCTGTCACGGAACTTGTTCCTTTGTGCCGCCTTTCGAGGAATCAAAGCAGACACGGTTGTGACACGTAGCCCGGAGGGTCAGAGGTCAGATTTCACAATCCCAATTACAATGATTTCTAATGATGTTTATCTTGCGGGTTCCGACGGCTGGGAGCTTTACAAGAGAGCTTCGCTCCCCTCCCCTCTGCTTGGAGGGCCGTGGGTGCGGGGGGCTCTCGCCTCGGCTCCGGCCGGGGGCAGATGCGCTTCCCCGGGCACGGAGCGCCGCGTCCACCCCGCCGAAGGGCGCGGGGAGCCGGACGGCGGTGCCGGGGGTAGAATGTCAGGGGTCCCTCCGTGCTTCCCTGCGGTGGTCGAGGCCACGCTGGAATTAAGCGAGTGAATAGCACAGAGGTTTACAGTGAATACTGCCAAGAACCCAACTCTCCCTCCCCGTCGGGTAAGGTTCGAGGCAGCGCTAGCAAGTGACTGAGCGGAGGTAGGAGCTCTGCTCGTCGATCATTTGTCCGGAGTCGGTCGCGGCTGTGGGGGCTGTAGGGACCGGCCTTGTCCCGGTTACCCTCCCGCCCCTGAGCCGCTCAGCCGCATCCGCAGCCGCCGGCGGAGTCCCAGGGGGAGGCGGCGGGCGGTCCCTGTGGGGAGCTCCCTCCGCGCCCGGAGAGGGTCCTGGCAGGGGGAGCACGGCCCAGAACACCTCTCAGCCTCAGGGCTCCGACTTCTTCTCGGCGAAACCTGTTCGATGTAACTTTTATTTTGTCTTACAAGAAATAAACGCAGAGCGGCGATTGGATCAAAACACAATTCAAACGGTTTCCTTTTAAATCTAAAACCGTTTTGAAAAAGCTTTGTCGAATGGCTAAAGGCTGAAACTTTGAGAAAAGGTAATAAATGTTGAGTAAAAAAAAAAAAATCTTAACTTTTCTTCTACTGGGGAGTTGGACACGTAGCACCCGAGCACCAGCCTCGGGCTGGCTGTTGACAGAAGCGCGCAAGGTGCATCTTTATGCTCTACATCAAATGCCTTTGACATAGACTTTAAAAAGTCTATGTAAAGCAGCTAATGGTGCTCGCTCTTCCGGCTGAGTAAGTCGGGGAACCAGATTTTGCTGGAAGTAGAAGTCCTTTGCTCTGAGAACTGATCTTTACTGCATCAGGTGAGCAATCCTTACATTGAAAAGACTTTTCTTGTTTGTTTTTGGCCACTTGATCAGTTTGGAGACAAGGTAGATGCGAATAAAAACTTTGCTAGCTGCGGCAGCAGCAGAGCCTTCGGGGGGGTTGAGGAGGCAAAGGGCTGCGGAGCCCAGGACGCTGCGGGCCTTGGCCGGTGCCGGTGAAGGTGCCGGTGCCGGTGCCGGTGCCGGTACCGGCGGTGCAGACGTGGGGGCTCCGCGGGGCGGACACTGGGAGCAGCCCCGCTTGGCTGTGCCGCAGGGCTCGGCTCGAGTACGGGAAGGAGCCGCTGCTCCGGGGAGATGCGGGGGTACAGGCGGGCCAGGGCACTTTTTGGTGATTATTTTTCCCTTTGGTTTTCCACCCAAACCTCCCCCGCCCCCACTTTTTTTTTTTTCCCCCTTTTTTTCTTCTCATCGGGGTGACACCAGAGGTAAAGGCAGCCCCGACGCCGGGCGCTGCCGGGGTACCATGGGCGCTGCTGCTCCTGGGCGCGGGTGGGGTGTGGGAGAGCTCCGAGCTGGCAGCGGGGCCGGGTCCTGTCCGTCGTGCCTCCCGGTGCCGACGGAGACGCTCCCCGCCGCCTCTGTCTGCGAGGACATGCTGCCGCTCGAGAAAATACCGCAGGGACCCGAGAAGCGGTGGCAATAACGGGGCATTTTAATCCCCTCTGCCTTCCTTTGATTGCCAGATGGAAAGGACACCCCACTTGTTACCCTGCCCCCGTCCATCACAGGCTCCCCGCGGCAGGGAGCGAGGCTCGGGGACCCTGTGGGGACATCGGCTCTC